TAGCAAAAGTGACAGATGAAAAAATAGTGCCGATAGCAAATAATTCAGAACAATATATTACTTTCTCAGTTGGTCAATTTCAATTTATTGATAGTTTGAAATTTTCATTATTTGGTTTAGCTAAAATGGCAGAAACTTACATGATGAAAAGAAGAGCCAAACTAAAACACCAGAACAATTAGCAAAATGTTTTCCAATTATGTCAAAATTCATTTCACCTCATTTATTATCATTGCTTACACGTAAAGAAATATTCACATATCAGTGGTTAACTAGTAAAAACAAATTCAAAGAAACGCAACTACCTTCTCGAAAAGATTTTAATAGTGACTTGAATGGAGTAAATTATTGTGAGCAAGGATGTGAAAGCAAAAAATGTGAACATGAGAAAATTTACACAATAACTCAAAAGGACTACGATTTTGCTCATATAGTTTGGAAAGAAACTGCTTGTAAAACCTTTGGTGATTATTACGATATTCACCTCAAAATGGATGTTCTTATATTAGCAGATGCATTCAAGACATTCCGAAAAGCTTCATATGAGGCATTCAAGTTAGATCTGGCAAATTATCTAACAGCTCCAGGCTTGGCGTGGGACGCTTGTATGAAAGTAACTAAAGTAAAACTAGAATTATTTAATAAGCATCAAGGGGATATGTATGACTTCTTTACAGCAATGAAAAGAGATAGAATGTCCTTAGCTAGAAGACGTATAGCTCGAGCAAATATTCCAGGATTAGAAGAGTACGATGGAAAAAAAGCAAAAAAATGATTACTCTATCTAGATGCCAATAATTTATATGGTTGGGCAATGTCGCAATATTTACCAACCGGTGGATTTAAATGGCTATCAACAAAACCTTTGGATGCATCTCACCCTTTAGTGCAAAAAATTTTAACGATAAAAGAAAATTCAAATCGAGGATGTTGCTTAGAGGTTAAGTTATCAATTCCAAAAGAATTACGTCCCAAATTTTGAGACTATCCAATGTGTCCAGAACAAAAGAATGTACTATATGATTGGTATAGTTCAAAACAAAAAGAATGGGCAGGTAAACAACATTCAGATACAGAAAAACTTATACTAACTC